TTAATTGTTTTTTTTTTTCCCCTAGTATTTTATTTTTATCAATAGCTGTCTTTGTTCAATCAGAAGTATTTTTTCTGGTTGAATTTTCTAAATCTTAATATTATCTTTATTATCTTATTTTCATTGGGTACACAAGGACTTATAAATCTTAATGTCCCCTTAAGGGTTTTTGTCTTGGAAACTGAGAAGTAAAGAAAAGCAGGATGAATCGCCTTTTGTGTTGTTGTATGGTTGCCCAGAAATATCCTATCTCTCCATGAACATAGACTCATAAAACTGGAAAATATATTAACATTATCTATCTAATCTCCTATTTTATACACAAATGAAAATATGCAGAAGCTTATATAAAACGTGTGGGAGTCTTGCTAAAACTCATGTGTCCTCACACAGTTTAGTGATCTGTCTCACCCAAGATTAACTCCAAATCTAAGAAAAGAATAACTTGGTCTGCACTTCCACCGAAGCACAGGAAAAGGTTCACCAGTGATCCTAAATTATATAATATGTAGAGGAGAGTAAAAAATATTTTCTCCCCTATTTTTACAGAATGTGCTTTTCTTTCCATAGGGGAATCTACTTTCTTCACTCATCATGCCATCCTTCAATCAGAGCATCTTCCATCCTGCAGTTTTCTTTCTTACTGGCATTCCTGGTTTTGAAACTTACCATGCCTGGATCTCAATCCCATTCTGTTGTCTGTATGCCATTGCCATCTCTGGGAATGGCATGACCTTGTTTGTCATCATCACTGAGTCGGGTCTTCATGAACCCATGTACTATTTCCTCTCCATGTTATCCTTCACGGACCTAGGGCTGTGCCTTTCCACACTGGTCACCATGCTGGGTATTTTCTGGTTTAATGCTCAAGAAATCAGCTTCAATGCCTGCATTGGCCAAATGTTCTTTATCCACAGTTTCACATTCATGGAGTCCTCAGTACTCCTGGCGATGGCCTTTGACCGCTTCATTGCCATCTGTAACCCACTGAGATACACCACAATCTTAACCAATTCAAGGATCATCAAAGTGGGCTTTGTAATAGTGATTAGGGGAACAGCAGCTCTAGTGCCTTTACTCCTGCTCCTTAAAAACCTGTCCTTCTGCCATAGTCATGTTCTACACCATTCATATTGTTTCCACCCAGATGTGATGAAGCTTTCGTGCACCGACACCAAGATCAATAGTGCATTTGGCTTGGCCATTGTCATCTCTACTGCTGGCTTAGACTCCGTCTTAATTCTCCTCTCCTATGTTCTGATAATCCATTCTGTGCTCAGCATTGCCTCCCCAGAGGAGCGGAAAAAGGCCTTTGGAACATGTGTCTCACATATCAGTGCTGTTGCCATTTTCTACATCCCCATGATCAGCTTGTCACTGGTGCATAGATTTGGGAAGCATGCCCCTCCCCTTGTGCACACTCTCATTGCCAATGTTTATCTGCTTATCCCTCCTGTGATGAATCCCATAATCTACAGTGTAAAGACCAAGCAAATTCGCAAGGCTGTGCTTAAAATATTTCTTCCTAAGCTAATTTAGGAAATATTTAGAGTACCATATCTTCACAAAGTCTTCTCTAACTCATATTTTATCATCCACCAGTGTGAGTTACAACCATACCTTGACAGAGTGTGTTTATATATGCTTTTACTCTATTCTGATGGACTAGCAACTAACTACTTATGCAGAACATTCTTTGAGAGCAGGGACTGTGCATTGGGTACTTCTGGTGCTTCCACAAATACTTTGATGAGCACAGAATAGGACCATGGTTAAAATAGGTCTGCAAGAGAGATAAACCACAGAACTTATATGCATGTATGCATGAACAAAGGTCATGCACAACAAAGCTGGGGACAGGGTGGGGAGGGAGGGGAAGGGGGGACTCAATGGGGGGAAAAGGAGAAACATCTGTAACAAAAATAAATAAATAAATTAAAAAAATATAAAAAATAAAATAGGTCTGCAAGCCTGGATGAATGATGTCATGCTTTGGGGTCCAGAGTCTCACCACCTCTTCAGTATATAGCTATTCAAGAGATATCTGATACAATTTAGATCAGTAGGAAAATCTAGGTTTCAATAATTCTTACATTTAATTGGTAATGATTATTTCTCAAGAATAGATTATTTATTAAGTACAATAAAAAAGAATAAAAATGGCCCTGGCCGGTTTGGCTCAGCGGTTGGAGCGTCGGCCTGCGGTCCAGAGAGACCCGGGTTCGGTTCCCGCTAAGGGCATGTACCTCGGTTGCAGTTTGTCCCCGGCCCTGGTTGGTCGAGCGGGTGGCAGCCACTCGATGTGTCCCTTCACATCGATGTTTCTCTCTCTCTCTCTCTTCCTCTCTCTCCCTCCCGCTCTATCTGAACAAAAAATGGAAAAATTTCCTTGAGTAAGGATAAAAAAAAAAAAAAGAATAAAAATGAATAGAAAAGGTACTTTCCTAATTAAAAAGAGTCCTTTAGGTCTCTTTAGCTGGGCAACTTGGTTCTTTATCTAATCTTGTGGTTGGCAATTATTTCCCCCCTTAAAATAGCCAGTTTTTAAATGGATGTCTTGGCAATCAAAACGTAAGACAGGCACTTGCATTGCAAAAAAGAAAAACCAGCCCTGGCCGGTTTGGCTCAGTGGTTAGAGCATAGGTCTGTGGTCCAGAGACACCAGGCTTCAGTTCCTGCTAGGGGCGTGTTCCTTGGTTGCAGTTTGTCCCCGGCCCTGGTTGGTTGTGCGAGTGGGGGCTACTCGATGTGTCCCTTTCACGTTGATGTTTTTTTCTCTCTCTCTCCCTCCCTCTCTATCTGAACAAAAAATGGAGAAGTGTCCTTGGGTGAGGATGAAAAAAAAAAAGAAAAGAAAAGAAAAACCAGCTGTCAGAAGTCTATACATTTTCATAAATTTTTTTATAGACCTTTGAAACAACTCCCATTCAATACTGATAATAAATATGGTTACTCTGATACAGAATTTGGACGAGTAGGTCTGCTAAGATCTTTTTAGAACATTGAAATTCTGTTTGAGAATATTTCCTAAACTGAGAGTTCTGAATAATAGATATATGATAGCTTAGAGAAAAATTTTGATATTCTTACCATTCAGGTCTCCATTAACACCGAGTAGGGAACTGCAATATGTTATGGAGCCTCGAATAAGGTGCCCAGCTTCCTCAGTTGCTTCAAAAGGAGCTTTAGACATCTGTTCTTCTAAGAAAGGAGAACGATTGAATTCTTAGCTCAGCTATTTTTATTATGTTATTTAGATTTAAATGCTTCAGAATCCCAGGACTTCCATGAGGTGGATCCTGCCCCTGTTTGGCGTTGTCATTTGCTCCACCACTTGAACCCAGGGTTCCAGGCCTACTGAATATGTTATTAGTCACCACTGTTTTTTCTAGGTTCTGTGCACCCTTCTCTCCTGACGAACCTGGGTTGAACTTCCTGCAGGATGAATACATGCTCTTCTGTGCTCTCATCATAAATATGCCCTGATATAATCACCCAGTTTTATGTTTATTTCTCTACTGGGTTTTGGGCATTTAAAGGGAAATGACTTTGTCCTAGTCTCTGTATCACCAGTGAAAAACCCTGGAATATGGTAGATTCTCAAAGTGTTTGTGAAAGAATTAATGAAGCTTTTGTTTATCTATTTCATGGCCGAAGCAAAAATGTTTCTTAAAAAAGTACCAAATCCATCCAAATGATATGGGAGGATACATTTATCAGCTGGATATGGGGGAAGGGTGGGGATCAGGAAATAGCTCCTGCACAGAGTAGGTGTTCTTGTTTCAAATTTTACACTCACAAATTTACTTTTAACAAGACCTTATCAGGACATATGATCAAAGAACTATAACTTTAGCCCCTGCAAAGTAAGTGTAATGAGACAGAAGAGAAGGAAGTTATGAGGGAGAATGGACCCTTGGGAAACTTTGTGCTCTGGGGCCACAAAAACATCCACTAGGAGTTTTCTGATTAAGAGATTTCATGCAGCCTGAGCCACGGCTCCTTATATATGCCATCTGTTGCTGAGTAAAACACCTCCCAGCTCCTCAGGCCCTTTCCTGGAAAACAGGGCAAGAAAGACCACATCTCCATGCTTTGTAAGTACAACTACTACATTCAGGGGAAAAATCAGACTACACACACTGGATCCCTGTAAGAATAAAAGACTTGTTAATTGCAAAGAGCTCTTTCCAACAATCTGTATTTCTGGGCACATCTCTTCTAACTGATGGGGTTTAGTTGATCCATGGGGCATATGTTTTGCTTCTTGGAGCAGGTTGTTAGTGCCTGTGCAATGGATTAGATGTGAGTTTTGGGTTGAGTTACATTTCAAAACCATTCCCTAAGGCCAGCTGTTGTACTGACTCCACCCATCATCCTCATCCTCATTCTCACTCTCACCATTATTAAATGCTTCCTACTATTAAATATAATAGTCAGTATACTAGATGCTTTACAAATGAGGTACTAATTTCAACAGAATTGAAATCTGATGAACCTCAGCTAGTTGGTGACAGATCCAACATTTGAATCTAGATTTGCCTGACCCTGTCACCATATCACTGACTCTGTAATCAAGGAGAGAGATAACTCATAGTTGCCCCCATAGAACTGACAGCATTCTTTAACAGTGGGTTTGAAGTATTATCTTACAAGAAGGACAAAATTACTATCAATAAATGGGGGAGGGGACACAAATGTTTACAGTAAAAGACATTTGAACTTAAATAGATGAATCATTGATCCATTAGTTTGTGTCCAAATTTTGTATTATCATATAATTGTTCATTTCCTATTTTCTGTTCCTTCAAGGAGGTCTTATTTAGCCATTCTATATAAACTCTTTAAATAATACAGATAATAAATTTCATAAATGTTCATCAGATGAAATAATTATTTTCATGTTAAATTCAGAATAAAGAAGGCCTTTTTTTTTTTTTTTTTTTTTTTTTTTTTAATTGAAGGACACTCAACTTAAGATTCTGAAGTTTCAGTTTAACATGTCAACTTTCCAGAACACCACGTCCTCTTCCATCGTTTTCCTGCTCACCGGTGTTCCTGGGCTGGAAGCCTTCCACGTCTGGATCTCCATTCCCTTCTGCTTTCTCTATATAACCGCCCTCTCAGGAAACAGCCTGATTCTCTTTGCCATTGTCACTCAGCCCAGCCTCCACGAACCCATGTATTATTTCCTCTCCATGCTGTCCACCACTGACCTTGGCTTGTCCATATCCACCCTCGTCACTGTATTGGGTATATTCTGGTTCAATGCCAGAAAGATCAGCTTTAATGCCTGCTTGTTGCAGATGTTTTTCATTCAACTTTTCACTGTCATGGAATCCTCGGTGCTGTTGGCCATGGCCTTTGATCGTTTTGTGGCCATTTCCAATCCTCTCAGGTATGCCTCTGTCTTAACTGATCTTAAAATAGCACAGATTGGAGTAGCAATCATCACCAGAGGCACACTGACACTCACTCCTATGGTGCTGCTTCTTAAAAGACTGTCCTACTGCCGCAGCCATGTGCTCCACCACTCCTACTGCTTCCACCCCGACGTGATGAAGCTCTCCTGCACAGACACCAGGATCAACAGTGTGGTGGGGTTGACTGCCCTGATCACCACTGCTGGGGTGGACTCAGCCTTTATCCTCCTTTCTTATGTTTTGATTATTAAGACTGTTCTCAGCATTGCATCCCCAGAAGAAAGGAAGAAAACTTTTGGCACATGTATCTCCCATATTGGGGCTGTTGCTGTATTCTATATCCCACTGATCAGTCTATCCTTTGTCCACAGATTTGGGAAATGGGCCCCCCCTTATGTACATACTATGATTGCTAACACCTACCTGCTGATCCCCCCTGTGATGAACCCCATCATCTACAGTGTGAAGACCAAACAAATACGCAAGGCTGTGCTGAAAATTTTCTATCCTAGTGCAGCAAAAAAGTAATTGGTTCTAGTTTCAAATACTTGAAATGTCTTTGGATTTCAAATAGATTAAATTTTGGACCAGAAATTTTATTTTTCTAGTCTTGGTCATTGTATAGATGAATAAAATGCCGTGCAGAGAGGTTAAAATATTGAGACACATGCTTGGGCTAAAAGCATCCAAAAAGATCACTTCAGTTTAAAGTATAAACTGAAAATTCTTTATCACTGTTTTCCTCATATAACCATAATAATATTAACATTTTTTTCATTAAGATGAAAGAGTTTCAATGACCCAGACACCAATTACTCAGGTTCAGTTTCAAATATGGAATTATTTTTGTAAGAGATACATGTGAATAAAAATTACTGAGTTTTATCATCTGAATCTTGCAAATATAACTGGCGTTGCTCATGATTATGAAATTATTCTTGCTTTTTCCTCTTTGCCCATGACCTCCCTAACCTTTAATATAATAGCTAGTATCATCATCAATATATGTTTTACTGCTATGTTAATAACCTAAAATTTTGGTAAAATATTCTTAATTCTCCCTAGCTCTTCAGGAAAGATTTAAAGCTCAAGCATTCTATGTAAAATAAGCATTCTTAATTCAACTCCAATATGTATAGTTTCTTCAGAAGTACTAAGGTCATGCTTAATGCTTAACAAGTCTGTTTATGGATTTGGCAAATATCATCTAGTAATAAAAACTTTCTTTGAAGTCCCACATGCAGACAGAGTTTAATCTGGATTTATGATGCTGTATTTGAATCCTCTCCTCCAGGAAAGTTAAAGTGGGTATGTTAGCTTTGGCCAGTGTGGTTCAGTTGATTGGAGCATTGTTCTGTACACCAGAAGGTGGCAGGTTCAATTCCAGTCAGGGCACATAACTAGCTTGCGGGGTTTGTTTCTATTCGTGGCATGTGTGGTAGGCCACTGTCTACCTACCTGTCTACCTATCTTAAGTGAGCAAAGATAATGATTCCTTGATCCTGTTGGCAATAGTACCTCTACTAGAACTTCACCTGTGAGAACTTTTGAGCATAAGATGCATGAAAAAGGTGCTAATAGATTCTTTTGTCACCTGAGGTATAAAGCAAATGCCTTTTCTGATCATTTGACTCCAGGTATCAATACCACGAACCTTGCTTCAGCCATATAAAAGACCCCAGGGCAAGCCCCACCAAGGTGATTTCTAGGTATGGAGGAGCTATGTAGAATTTTCCTTCATACCTTAACAGATAGATATGAGACCAGAAAGATATGTGGAGTGGTCTTCTGACCTTTTGGTTGGCTGGTCTGTAGAAAGCTGAGCACACAACCTAGTGAATGTTTTTTTTTTTTTCTGGTACAAATAGAACACACAGCAGAATTCTGAACAGGGAAGAGGGAGGCTTTGGTTCCTCTCTAGAATTCTTCTTTTGACTTTTGTTTATATTAAAAACATAAAGTTAAACGAATGCATTCACTGTTTACTTGGTGCTTAACTTACAGAATCCAAAGGTCATAAGATCAGTAGTACTGGGAATGTGATGTGCAGCATGATGACTACAGTTAATACCGTTATATGGTGCACATGGAAGCTAAGAGATAAATCCTAAGAGTTCTCATCACTAGAAAACAAACCAACAGATTCTTCTCCTTTTTCTCTATTTACATGAGATAGTGGATTTAACTAAACTTATTGTGGTAATAATTCCACAATATATGTAAGTCAAATCTTTATGCTGTACACTTTAAAATTATACAATGATATATGTCAATTATAGCTCAATAATACTGGAAAAATAAAGAGTTTGCCTTTCTAGGCCTCTGGAAGTAGATAGTCTGGTTTGAAAGTGAGAGTCATACCCAAATGTTTTGCCAAATGTAAAAGCTAAAAATAAGTGGCTGTGTGTCCTATGCAGAGACCCCAGAATGTGTTTGTGGTGGGAGGAGATCAATTCTATATAAATAAATCTAACCTCTTCTTGTGTACCCCAAATCTGAACCCAGCTTGAATCCAGCTGATATGGAAGACTGAGAAATACAGCCCACAAGGGTCAGCTCTTTTGAAATATTGAACACAGTAGAGTAAAAAAAAAAAAAAAAAGAAATAAATTTGAGAGACATATCCAAAGTCATCATAGTCCATTCTTTCTGCTAATTATCAAATGTATATAATACTTTCATGATTTAACATAACAAGAGTCAGCAATTATTTACATAAATAAAAACACGTTCTTTCTTTCCCTAAAAAGTACAGATGTAAAAGCCTATTAAGCATGGTTCTCACTATCTTCAAGTGAAAAACTATGTTCCCAATCTGCTCAAGACATGGATCTTCATTATCTGTGACAAATTATCATATTAAGCACTACCATCACTCCTCATACAAAGTAGCAGGGAAAGAGAAAGCATAATTGATTACTATATATGCATTAACATACAGAAAGATGGTGCCATCCTCACTTTTATGGCTTGTCCTGAGACCACAGCTTACATTTATCATTTTCTTCTCCCACTATCATGCCACTATCATCTTTTCTTTAGCCATCATTCTAACTGCTAGGTTAACCCAAATTTTATTCCTGTAAGTACTGGGTCCTCACTGGTCTTGCCCTTATTGGGTTACTGTAGTATTTCACCTGCCTTTACTACAAACTATGGAACATAAGAAGTGCGCACGTAAAATCTCTGGGCTCTATCTATGGTCCTCACTGGCACCATGGTACAGCAGCAATACAATTTCTCTTTGCTTTTTGCAATCAGCTTTGTAAGTCCTTCTTTGCCTGTTTAACATGGTGGCATGGGGAACTCCAAATAGACGTTTTAGCACAGATGTGTGAGTAATAGAAAGTAATTTTTTGGGTTTAATATTAGGAAGAATATGAGAGTCAGAGTCAAGAGTTGAGGTAAGACAGCAAGACAAGATAGATAATTCATCTGTAAGAAAAAAGAAAAAAAAGAAAGGAGGAATAAATATAGTTTGCATTCACTCAGAATGTACAATAGTATGCATTCATTATCATAGAAAATGCAGGGCAATGTTGTCTCTGCACACCTTTGTCATGACACAGTCTGACGAGACCTGGAGCAGTAGGACACAGATCATCACACTTGTCCACTATATTGATGAAATGATGAAACTGTGCTAATCAGGTGGGATGGACAAGAAGTAGCAAGTAGCCCATGCATTTCAGAAGGTGGTTGGCAACCCTACGAAGATGCAGGGGCCTGCCACATAAGTAAAACTTTTTGTGGTTCAATATTCTGTGCAAGCTAGGGCATCTCTTCCACAGTACAAGAAAATATTGTGTCTTCCATTTCCAACCATGGGAAGGATGCACAGTGCTTATAGGCTGCTCTGGATTCTGGAGGCATTTGCACTGTCTGTGTGTCTCTCTGCATCTCTTCCCACACATAATTGTGTGGTCCAGCTAACACAGCTTTCCTTGAATACTAGGAGGGTTGTCAGACATTTCTCCATATAACCTGTTAAAGGAATGGCTTATCTGGATATGCTCTTTCTGAATGAAGAGGAAAACTATGTACTCATAGGTCTGCATACTATGGGCAGTTAAGAAACAAGGCTTTGGTCTGGCCAAACCTAAACACATGAAGAAATTGTCAGCAGCTTTGCTCCCCTGGTCCTCCCCCAACATTTACCTTTCTGGGCCGTGAAAAAGGGTACTCTAAGATACACTACATGTATAGCTCTGACGTGGGGAAACTTCAGTAAATTTTCTGGACTTAATATATATTACTTAATATGTTAAAGTGTGTGTGTGTGTGTGTGTGTGTGTGTGCATGCTCACACACATGTGGCTTTTCCTGTCAGTTTATGGCCCAATGAAATATAGTATGGTCTTTTACATAATTAACATTTTCTGTTCAGATTTTTGTGGTTATTGTTTCCATGTATTATAGTCTGGCTGCCATCTATGCTGTGAGGAAGGGATGAGATTACCTGCACGGGGAGGAAGAAGGCAATTAGCTTTCCACCTGGGCATAAAGGTTCTCTGTTCCTCCTGTTAGAGTACAGATCTGCCTTGGTGGCAGAATGATTCACATTCATTTTTTCATCTTTAAGTAAATTTCTCTGTGGCCTAAAATAATGGCATCAAGAAGGCCAAGTTGAGGTTAAAGGGATAGAAGGAAAATAGCCAGATATTTTATTATTTATTTATTTATTTCAGTTGTTTTTATTTTTTAAATTGACTTTACTGGGGTGACACAGTTCTTGAAACCATACAGATTTCAAGTGTACAACTCAACAAAACATCTGCATACTGCATCCTGCACCCATCACCCGAAGCCAAGTCTCTTACCCATCCCATTTCCACCCTCCTTGACCACTTCCACTTCCACCACTCCCCTTTCCCTCTGGCCATCACTGCATTGCTATCTGTGTCTATGGGTTATGCATATATGTTTTTTGGCTAATACCTTCACCTTCTTTCTTTCATCCAACTCCCACCCCCGACAGCTGTCAGTCTGTTCCATGTGTCCATGCCTCTGTTTCTTTTTGTTTATCAGTTTATTTTGTTCATTAGATTAGATTGCACATATTATTTTCATTAGATTCCACAGATTTTTGAATGGAATCCTCCAATTTAACACACAGGATTTGGGATGACCCTTAAAATAGCTTTCCTTCCCCTTCTGTAGGCTCCTGCATAAAATTTGGGCTGCAATTTCACCTGTCAATGTTATTTCATCATGTGTTCTATCTTCCATGAATTTTCCAGATTTACAGATCACTAATTATACTCTTATCCAGTGATACTATTGATTTAATCTTTATTCCAAACCCATATTCTTCCTATTCTAGGATGAGAGTAGTTTGGACATGTGTGCTCTCTCCACTTCCCTTATAATCTTGAATTCATCTTTGTTTTTAATGTGACAATATCATTATTGTGCTACAATTCACATTCAACACGATTCATCCATTGAACATGCAAAATTTGTTGGTTTTTATTAAATTCACAGACTTGTACAACTATCATCATAAAAAGTTTTAGAACATTTTCATG